AGCTCCTCATCTCTGGGCTCTGTCAATATTCCTCTGTGTAGGCGGGCAGTGATGCTATCACAACGCACCAAACAGCAGCTTCTCTAACACACACACACACACACACACACACACACACACACACACACACACACACACACACATACATACATACATAAACACAACACCCCAAATTCAAACTGACACTGTCTCTATTTACAAACCATTTCTCTAGTTTATGCTTAATCCAACATACAGATTTGCAAGAACTATTCTCCCTTTCTCACTGCAGTGTGTTAGTGTGTGTATGTGTGTGTGTGTGTGTGTGTGTGTGTGTGTGCGAGCTGAATCAGTAAATTATTCAATAAATTATTCAACCGTCTAAAATTTCCTCAATAAATTCAGCACTGAGTTTGATAGAAGGAACCAACATTTGACTGAAAAAGCTCCCTCAGACTGCTCCCTAGTACACTATTACTGCAAGGTCTATTCACTCTTCTTCTTCACATGTATTTAGCTCCTTGTAATCACAGAATTTGTTTAGGTTTTTGGACACATACACATAAACACAGGTACCCAATTTGCTGAGTAAATAAAGCAATTTTAAGTTATTGTTATTTTTTTATACATATTTTTACAATTAATGATTTTAGATTTCTCTCTGTCCTTTCTCCTGGCCACTTTCTTTTAAACTGATTCTTTTCAGTGCTGACTCCATTGTTAGCAGAACATGTGGTCACGAGCTGTTTCTTTTCACCTGTCAGTGAGTAGCATAATGTGGTCGGAGGTTTACCCATGGACTGTATATAAAGATGGACATAGCCTCTGTTACATCAATCACAGGTTTCTGAAGAGGGGTTTTGAAGCTCAGAGCGGGCTGGTCCGCTGTCACCATCTTGGCTGTGTCTGACTCCACCTCACTCCCAGCTAATCCAAAAACTTTGCATTGTTAGCACAGCTGGGCATTTTTCTTAAAGGCTAACCTAAGGCTAATTCATTCGCTGGCTAATTAGCTGGTTAATGAGCTACGCTAAACAACTAGGCATGATGAGCGCACACATCAATACCTGCTTATTAGTGCTAACATCCATCCATCCATCCATCCATCCATCCATCCATCCATCCATCCATCCATCCATCCATCCATCCATCCATCCATCCATCTTCTTCCACTTATCCGTGGCCGGGTCACGTGGCAGCAGGCTTAGCAGGGCATTCTAGTCGCCTTCTCTCCAGCAAAACTTTCCAGCTCCTCCTGGGGGATCCCAAGGCGTTCCCAGGCCAGATGGAATATGTAATCCCTCCAGCGAGTTCTGGGGACCCCGGGGACTTCTACCAGTTGGACGTGCCCAGAGAACCTCAGAACCTCCAAAGGAAGGCATCCAGGAGGTATGGTAATCAGATGCCCGAACAACTTCAACTGGCTCCTTTCGACATGAAGGAGCAGCGGCTTTACTTCAAGCTCTCTTCGTTATTTACATGAAAAATCCTCCAAAGGGCACCAACACAAACATTCAGTGATTCATATTACCTAAGGTGACGCCTGGCAGACAGCTAGTGGCTAGACACCCAGTGGCCAGCCAACTGTGACTGCATCCATCTGTCAATCAGAGCGGCCACACCTTCAACCATGCATAACTTTAAGACTTAATCAAATTCAAACACGTGACCTATATAAAAACACCTGCTGTACAGTTTTCATAAATATGGGAAATTACCTATAGAGACTAAAATTGGCTTTTGTAAACATGTTTATTTCTGCTGCAAAGTTGGGCATTTTAACATTGGAATCTATGTCGATTGACTCGCTTTTTGGCCAGCATCAAGCGGCCGTTTGCAGAACCTGCAGTTTTTGGCACTTCCATGTTGGCTTCTTTTTTCAGGTTGCTGCTTGAGTTTATGTGTCTCTAGGCCCACCCCTCTCTGCACAGACAGTCTGACCAACCAGCAGGAGTCTGTAGCATAATGTCAAGGAAATGATCCTTCACTGGCTTCCCACTCATGAATGTTGCTTGTGGGGCACTGCGGTGGTAGGTAAGTAGTTTTACCCCACAGCACCCTGTCACTCCCTTATTAATAAACTCATAACATCAGAGTGTAGACACATGTGAATACAGTACAATACCCAGCTTACACTTCTCCTAGGCGCCCTATTCTTAAACCGAAGCAAGTGAGTGTCTGTCCATTGACTGAGGAGTTAACTCTTACTGCGCTTATATATTAGGCTTATAATTGTTCAGAGAAGAACAATCAACTGAACCATTTATTCTTCCAGCTGAGCAGTATCTGCTAAATCGGCTGTGACTAGGTTGTAAGAGTCAATTAGAAAAACAAGGAAGCACACTCAGTTTTATCCTTTATTTATCCAGAGAGGCCCATGTGAAACTGCCCAGCACACCCACAGTCATACTGGTTGTCAAACTGGCAGTAGTTCAAAAAGGACAAGAACTGTCAGCCTCATCATTCTGAGGATCCAACTCTCCAGTATGATCCAGTGATTTCACTGGGTTATGTGCACGGGCTTTCCTATCGTCCAATGATCATCTTGGAGAATGTTGAAACCACCTTATGTTGGTTCTCTGCTGCCACTGCAGTTCATGCCGCTCGCAGCTTCACCCCTTCAACACCCCACCGCAGCCAGTGTCAAGGCCCCATCTAAAGCTCCCTCTGGCAATCTCAGATGGATGATATTTATAGGGCTCTATCTCTACACATCTCCTTAATGGACAACAGCAAAGTTCTATGAAATAAAGTTTCTGCATTCATGTTAATTTGCTCCTTTCCTGATTGAAACTAAATTACAGAAAATTCTGCTCCAAAAACTAACCCTGTCTCCAAATAGCTAAACACCCACTAGTATACCTGAAGCTGTGTGAATTTTACTGGCATGAAATATATTAGTTGGCTGCATTTTTCCAAAGCAAACATTATGTGAATCATAATTGTGCTGAACAGCAGAGAGGACATGAATCGAAATTTGAAGAGGAAGGGCAATGCCAATGTACGTATAATTGGCATTATAGAAACTGCTGCCCAAACCTAAATATGTTTTCTAGACTAACTTTCCCTTAGCAGAGGAAGTTTGTTAATAGTTTCCATGTTTCATAGAATTTAAAAAGAATTTCAGAGTTCTATTGTAAACTGACATTAAGCTAAGCTGTCTTTGGACATTAGAACAAAATCATTTGCAATGAAATGACATTTCACTACTGCAAATATCAAGATGTCATGATAAACAGGGATTACACTAATGTAGCACTGTAACTGCGATATTTTCCTCAACATAAACACTCACTTGATAAAGCCAATTCAAAAAGTAAAGACTAGAATCAAATCACATTCAGGCTACAGTGAGCACAAACTGCCGTGGGATGATAACTAGATGACAAACTTAAAATAGAAATCACACACACACAAAATCCATACATGCATACTCACATTACAGACACAGGGAGACTTGATGTTGCAAATTTTGCACAACTTATGTGGAAGATTTGTAGCACAAGATCTGACATGGTTACCAAGAAACGGGCCTGCTTGAAGCTGCCAGTGTCTAAACGTCCAATTATTCTCCACCACAAAGAGCTTTTAATGAGTATTCCAGACTGTAAGTAGAGTATTTATATACCCTTTATGCTAATCCCACAATAAGCTTTGAATATTATGTTTCACAAGTGTCATGTCATTAAAATATGTCACAGAGCATGAAGAAGATCTGTGATATTCTTTAATTTAAATATTTTCACAAAATCTAATTCAGTGTGAAACTGACTTCAGACAAAGACAATGTTGGAAAATGTATGAAATGTACAAATGTTTGTTGTTATAAGTGTTATGTTGGTTTTAAAAGCCTCCATCCGCAGCTTCTCTGCTGTGATCATAGATCTTTAAACAGAATTATGCATGACTGTTTTTAATAAAGTCAGAGTAATGATCTTCTGTTCCCACTGAAACACCCTCACCTCATTACCAACCTGACACTTCTATATCCACTGAGGGCCAAAACAGTTAGTAAGCTTGATTATACTGATACGCACTCAACCACATCGCCAACATGCACTGAACAATACATATTCAAAGCTTAAATTATATACGAGCCGCACATATGGTGTGCACGGAGGAGCCGCGTTCAAAACACTAAAGAGATCTCGCTCAAATGTCCTAACTAATTATTTTATGTGTGCAAAGATGTTCACCCAGCAGGCAAGTGCTTCATAACTGCTGGCGTTGCCCCCAGCAAACTCTGAACTTGCCTGGCTGTTACGTTGGGAAAACAGAATTAGGCGCACCTGAAGTCATTTCACAAGACCTACCAGCCAGATCTATACAGCCATCACTCCATAATATCCACTTATTTATTCAGCAAAATGCTAAATTCTTCAGCCCAGCTGTTTGGAGCCTGGTTTGCAGCATTCAGAGTTGCTAATCGTGTTAAACAGTAGAGACGACATGAATCGAAAGCTATATAAACAAGCCTCTAAGCATCAAGCTGGAGGCTGAGCAGGCTCATCTCCTACCACACTGCTAAACCTCTCCATCCTCGCCTCAACGTATGAGGTCTGGTGTGGGGGCTTGGGGCTGCACTGGGGAGGGAGGGAGAGCAGCTATAAGTCTCCTTAGGAAAGAAAGATAAAAACAAAAATAACAACAACAACAAAAAAAAAAGGTCACAGGAGAGAGCAGCAGTCGTCACTCCTTCTCTTTCTCACTCTCTTTTTTCGTTAGCAGCATCAGAGGATTTATTTAGGGCTGTTTTGGACCGAGTTGCAAACCAGGACAAAAGAATTGTGAACGTCCATAAGTAAAATTTACTTTTTGTGATCTGTCACACAGGATAGTCCCAAGTCTGATATACAGGAAGCAGCGTGGTAAACAAAGTGTGGGGACAATGCAATAATTATTTGAGAAGTTATAATCCTTCCAGTGTCAGTCACTGTGGCACTTGTCTAGCTCTCGGCACTGAGAAACACAAAATAGCAGATAATCCTGGTGACATTTGACAAACAAAATAAGGATCTTACCCTGTAGTAGTCGCTGCTGTAGATGTCCCTAGACATGCCGAAGTCTCCAATCTTGACCAGCAGGCCATTGCCCACCAGGCAATTACGGGTTGCCAGATCTCTGTGGACAAAGTGCTGGGAGGCCAGGTAGACCATGCCCGAGGCAATCTGGGTGGCGATGTGCAGCATCTGGGAAAGGCCCAGCTCTCCGTTGGACTGCAGCGGCTGGCCGTCTACCAGGATCATGGCGTCTGGGCCGTGGGCTCTGGGTCACAAAGTGAATAATGTTGATTGATTTGTGGAACCGATATTGATGATAAACAGAGGTTTCCGTTTTAAAGGGAGATTATGTCTTTTTGTTTGGTGACCAGCAGCCACTGTGACACCAAGAGGTAATTACAGGATAATAAAATGTTTATTTAACAATGATCAATTTACGACCACACAGGTAAAGAAGAGTCAAAAAGTCCATGAACTAACATTAGGAATCAACAGCTAGTGGTCATACCAGACCAACTAAGGCTGTGGCAGTAAATCTCGAGAGTGGACTGAATTAAGCAAGAGCTTGTTTTATCGCTCTAGAATTCACCTTTTCATTTGTAAGGAGAAAATTGTGTTGTGTCTTTTTTGTAAGTTTCACAGTCTTGCTTCAACAACTGGATGTAGTAGCCTTTAATACTTTTTCAGCATGGCAGACTATAACCTGACCGACCCTTTAATAACCCTTACAGTACTAATAAACCCTTACCATAACCTAATGAGAATAATTAGCATAATAAAGAAACATTCTTAGAAAAATTTACAAATTAACTACAATTTACAAGTACTCAGGCAGCTTTAATTGCAGCGTTAAAGTGCTAAGTGTCTGGGCTGTTTTTTTTTTTTATTAATTCTGTGACTGTTACATGACTCTTTGGTTTTAAAGCAGCTTTTTGCAACATTTTTATGTTTTCAATCCTGTCAGTTTTAACCAAGGCTAAGGTCATCATCAAGGTATTGTAAGTCGCACATTTACCAAAACAAGTTGACTATGGGCTGTGAGCTCTTTCCCTGCTTAGCATATCTGGGTGATGCTGAAGAACTCATTTCCTGTGAGACGTTCCCGCTGTTCTCATCACCCTCTCGTCACTGTGATTACAGGCACTGTGCAGGGATGACTACAGCTATCTCACTCTCTCTTAGGCTGCCTTTCTTTTTCCACCTCTCACTTTTAGTGCAATTCAATGTTCTTTGCTTTATGTGTGTATGTAATAATTTTCTTAGACTGTACCTTTTGGTCTCTCTACCTCACACACGTGGCGGTGGCCAACTGAGTGCAGGCCACACACAGTTTATCTGAAGGTTGAGATGGACCTGCACGTCAAATCCTCTATTCACTCCTGTTGATTCCCTACACAGCTCATCTGTTAAATGTGACCAACAGGACCAATAGACCAAAAATCAGCCACATCTTGCACCTTGCATGAAAGAATTTCATCATTCGCGACATTGCCTTTCATTTCAGGAATGATTTCCCAACAGAAAGTCTTCACGCACTCTTGAATCCACGTGTGCACACACACACACACGCGTACACACACACACACACACACACACTCAATCGCAACATGTCATTTTTTCAACTATTGCTCAAGCTTCAAAAACAAAGTAGACCACACACACACACTGGTGCTGTCAACGCGTTTGAAATAGCACACTTCTATCCCTGACTCCTCCTTTGCACACTGACATCAACCAGTGAAGCTTCCCATTACCAAAGTGCTCGCTGTACCGGCATCGTGTCGCTTTTGTTGAGGCTTATCAGAGGTCACTTCCCCCGGTACAGTCTGACATTACAGCACAAAAGCACTAAAGCACTCATGTTTGCTAAACCAGAAAGCTGTGAAGTTTGCTAGATATTGTATCAGCAGCAGGATTTTCACAAAAGAAATGTACTTTTCTCCAACTCTTGAAGTTTACATTTACATACTGGTTGGTGGTCACTTCCATCTAAAAGCTCTGACCAGTACCTCGAGTGAAAAAGCTCCTAGGTAGCACACATACATATTCACACTGCAAGAGGCTTTCACCCACTGTAGTTTGCTTCTTTCTGTTCATATGATCACTATCTAATTTGCTCAGCCAGCACTATCCAGGTGTATCAAGGTTAAACTGACTGAACCTTCAGTGAAAAACTGACCTGAGGAATTTGTTGAGGTCTCCATGCTTCATGTATTCGAACACCATGATGAGTGGGTCTCCGTCTACACACACTCCGTAGAATTTAACAATGTGGTCGTGCTGCAGGTTGGTCAGCAGCTCTGCCTCCCTCTGGAAGTCCTTCCTCGCTGACAGGTTGGGATCTTTCAGCGTCTGAAAGGGGAAACAGTGATTCAGATTTACACAATTCTATGTGTTCATTTGTTGATGCAAAAAGTTTACTACTTTGGTGACCATATGAAGGTCAACATCCTTGACACAAGGAGCTCTTGAACACAACATTATTCTTGGCCTCTGCGAGGCAATGGTCTAAAAATGTTTCTCCTCGGGCTAGACTTCCGTCATTGTGTCCAGCCCCTGAATTGCACTGCCTTGTCTCACATCTTCTACTCTCTCTCTCTCTCTCTCTCTCACACCACTCCCTCTAAACAGTAATCTAAGTTACTCACTGCGCTCCTCCTTCTCCTGCGCTCCTCTATAATCCAATTAGTAAAGTCCCTTTTGGTTTCAGACATCCACTCAGTGTGCCCATTTGTCCTTCAGGTTTTAACATTGCTCTAGGGATGGCAGTGCTGTTCAGCTGTTCGGTCAGTCCACCACTGAAATATTTTAATAAATCTTGGATGGATTGCCATGAAATTTTGTAAAGACATCCATGGTCCCCAGAGGATGGCTACTGACTTGTTGATGACCTGACTTTTCCTCTACCTCCACCATGACTTTGACAGTTTGGGTTGTGAGTGACATGGCTCGACAGCTGTTGGTTTTTCCACTAAATCGTGGTGCTGGGATGATCAAGTGTGTTGATGCTCCAAATACGTTGTATCAGCATTAGAAAATAAAAAAAATACAATGTGGAGACAATAAAAGTTTACAACTATTAATACTAACTCAAAGTCTCTCTCCAAAGTCTGTGGATAATAGCCGCAGGCTAACACGCTAACAGGCACTGCATCTACTGTCTGACTTTGGTATATGAATAAATCCGCCAAGCGCCAAAATTCCTAAGCAGTCTCTTCGGCATTCTCCGGCACACGGGCTGCAGCTCAGCATGTACATGAAGGACAGAGTCGAGTTGAGTACACAGGTTTGAACAGGGCTGCATGAAAATTTCCCATAAAAACAAGTGGATGGAAACACACTTCTAGTCTAGTCTTACGCTCAGAAAACTGTGACTTTTTTGTCACTGCCTCCAGCCGGTCCACACCTGCACCAAGACTCCATAGGAAGGAATGGAGGAAATGACAAGAGGAATCTGTTGCTGTTCAGGTGCTGAGTTACTGTGGTAAACACAACACCGAATCTACACAAAGTTTACTCATATTTCCTTTATCTTTATCAACATAGCTTTGAAACTGTGAACGAGTCCGTCCAGATTCAATGGCATCTTGGTATAGTGATACTGTATACAGCCTCTGGCTATGCATTATATCCACCTAGTAATCCTGTGCATTGCTTTTAAGGCAGTGATGACTACAGCTGTAAAGCTCAGGCAGAACAGGTACAGCTAGCTGGAACAATAACTGTACACACAACAAATTGATCTGATTGGTAATAGCATCAAGTAGCGAGTCCCTCGAACTCTTTTCAAGTGAAGGACACATGAAATATCAAATCTTGATGGGATGTCAGCTGAAGCCGCCGGTATTAGAAAAAAAGGTGGGAAAGAAAATCAAATAACAGCAATAAGGCGCATTATTGCAGCCTCAACTGGAGGAAAAAAAGACTCTTGACACTTCATCAGCAACAGGAAAATACAGCAACTTGCTCCTCTTGATCTTCTCGGCCTTGAGTCCTGCTTTCCCAGCCTGCTGCTGACATACAGATGGAAAGACCTTGGGATAGAAATACATTTACCCGTATGTGCTCTTCCTGCAGTGAAATGCTGGAGGTGGTTGAGATGTACGGCAGAGTAGGTAAAATGGCCATAAAATTCTATTACCAAATCAAACCGCACTCTTAAGGAAATGTTTCTTGTCTGGGCATCCCTCCAAAACAATACCTTCAAGTGCTCGACTACAATAAATTGAGGGAAAGCGCTGCAGTGAATTTTCCCTTTGTTGACCTTTAAGAGTATTTAGAGAGCCTCTTCCTGTTTTATCACAGACAGGAACATGTTCAGATGAAAATGCACATTGCATTGTGTTTTAAAGCAAAGAGATAATTGTGGAGGAGGCTTATTATGAAACAGCTTTTTGTTAATCCTGTAATACTAAGGAAAGGAAGTGACAGCCAGACACCCCATCATCTTCATCTAACCTCTTCTACGACTTTCTCCCGTTGACGAGGCGAGAGTGGGTTTTTTTTTTCTCTTTTTCAGCTGTTTCTGACTTTCTCTCCTGGGGAGGTTTGCTGAGTCTGCAACCTCTTAGTCGGTCTCACCCTGCTTCACATTCATACCGTTTCTCATATTCACACTCGGAGCTGCCAAGCACAACTTAATGGTGAGCGCTGTAAAGGCACTGAGAGCTGCCACACAAGGACAATTGCTTTAGTGCCTTAAGGTCTTTAAAAGAAAGAAGCAAGTTCACTTGTATTAACTTTGTTTGACAGTAAATGCTGGTTCCTGACATTTCAACAGGTGTTGGGTGGATACAAAGACAGGTACAGCTTGGTGCACCCAGTGGCTATTCATAAGTCTAGTGGAACCAGGTATTCAGTGATGGTGGTCGGACCAGTGACTAGGCCATGGCATTCAGAGGAAACCCCCTGTCAAGCCAGAGGGGCCAGACCTGGTAGTTCAGCCGTAGCTGTCATGAGCCGCCAAGTTACTTGAGCTCATTGTTCTTTGTGTTTAATGTTTCCTGTTTTATTTTGGTAACCACTGTCTTGTCAAGTTTCCCTCCTGTGTGATTATCTGCCCCGCCCTAATGTCTTTCAACTGTGTCTCATTGTCTCCCCTGCCTTAGAGTATTTAAGTCCTTGTCTTCCCCTCATGTGTTGCCAGATCGTCTTTACCCCCCTGTGAGCGTTCCAGTATTTTCTCGTGTTGTCCCTCGTGTTTGTGTGATTTTGCTTCTTTTTTGACCAGCGAGTTTGATAGTTTTGTCATATTGACTGATCACCTGTGTACCGATTTTTGGACTGATTAAAACTTTGAACCTGACCCTCGTCTTAGTCTGCTTTGTGGGTCCACATCCAGTGTGTGCTTGACAGTAGCAGACACAATGATACACTCACCAGGCACTTCCTAGGTCCACCAATCAGCCAATCACATGGCAGCAGTGCAGTGCATAATATCATGCAGATACGGGTCAGGAGCTTCAGTTAATGTTCACATTAACTACTGCAATGCCGTTCTGGGGGGCCTCCCTTCACGTACAGTGAAACCCTTACAGATGGCCCAGAATGCAGCGGTGCATCTGGTCTTCGATCAGCCTAAAAGGGCACATGTCACTCCGCTGCTCATTGACCTCCACTGGCTACTCATGGTCGCCCGCATCAAATTCAAGTCACTAATGTTTTCCTTCAGAGTGACTTCTGTGAACTCAGTCATACAGGCTCATGCTCCTTCTTGGCCACAGCATTCCTGGTCTCGTTTATAGTTCCACCATTGAGGAAGTCTTGTGATGACCACAGGGGCAGCACTATCTGGTCCTTCTTTCTTGCCTGGCTGTGTCTCATTGTTTCAGGAAATTGATGGGTGGAGCTGAGATCTTGTCAGGAACGCAACACACCTGAGTGGGCTGGAGGCTGGACTGCAGACCAATCCTCTCCATCTCTTCCCCTGGCCTCCTCACCACTCACTCACACAGACACTGCATAGATACTGAGCTGCTGACAGACACACCCTGCTCCATTTTTGTCATTTACTCAATTCAAACATTTATCATTTTTACGGACTATGTGTGGTCTCTCTCTCTTTGTCACACACTGTTGAACTAGATTGTGACAATCTCTTGAAGACTCATCTCTTCTGAGAGCCCCTCCTCTCCTAACACCTCTAACACCCTAACACACCTAACAAGCATTTAATATGCATTATGCACTTTCAATGCGCCTCTTTACCTCATCTCCTTGCACTTCACCTTATTGAATAGATTTAGTACTTACACCGAGGTCTCCGACCGCACTGGAGCTTTAGTGATGGCTCTCGCTTGTAAGTGGCCAAATGAGTAAATGTAAATGTAAACATCAGAATCTCAGTCACTTTGACTGTGGCATGATTGTTGGTGTCAGACGGCTGGTTTGAGTATTTCTGAAACTGCTGATCACCTGGGATTTTCACACAAAGCAGTCTCCAGAGTTTAAAAAAAAAACAACAGCAGCTCTGCAGACGGAAACACCTTGTTGACGAGAAAGGTCAGAGGTGAAGGGCCAGACTGACAGAAAGGCTACGGTGACTTAGATAACCAATTTTTACAACTTGTGGTGAGCAGAAAAACATACATGCAAACATTTACACAGTGAAGATGTACCTTGACAGCCACCAGCATCTTGTCCTTGGTGGGGCTCAGGTTGTAACACTCTGCCAGGAAGACTTTCCCGAACGCTCCCTCACCCAACTCTCTCTTCAGGATGATGTCTCTCCGCTTTATATGCTGGACAACTGAAACACAGAGAGACAGGGAGAGAGAGGGGGCAGAAAGAGAAATATAAAGTCATTTTTTAAAACATCTTTTATTTGCAAAAAACTCCCCTATCTCTAAAACATGGAAAACACAGAAAAGGGATAGAAAGAGAATATGAAGCAAGGACAGAGTACAGAGTTCATGCATGGGCTACACTATGTGGGTACTACTTTGCAGTATTTTTAATTCTGGTCATGATCTCAAGGTTTCTAAAGTTACAGCTTCTCTAAAGATGTCATGGTAAAATGCAACAAAGTGTGTACAAAATGATGCACACAACATGTAAAATTCTCCGTTTGATGTAATGATGAATACATAATAAAAAAGAAAGCTGTTTGAATATTTCTCTCAATATCAGTGTGATTCAGCTGCAGTGAAGTGCTGAAAAAAGCAGTTACAGAAACATGTGATGTCAAACTGCAAAAAAAAAAAAAAAAAAAAAAAAAAAAAAAAATGTTTTATCTAACTTCAAAGCTACTTAAGAGAGAATGCTGGGAACATTCGGGTTCAAGTGGTTTTAAATCTGTGAAGCGCAAACGGCAAGATGACACTGGACCTGCAGAGCTACAAATCTCTTATCTGGATTCCTTGGTTTTACTGTTGGTATTGAGACAACTCCAGGGGATATTTTCTAATGAGGACAGAATTGTAAAATGTCTATTTCTGAAAAGTCTGTGTGAGTAAAATAAAATAACCGTCCCGCTGTCTCTCCCCATGCTTCTTACTCTATTCTTTCCTAATAACTCACTCTAACAGGATCATTTACAGGGTTGGAAAGTCCAACCATTGTTCTCCCCTCTTGTGATTGTTTGCAATGTTTGTGATCACAGAACTGAAGCTTACTCCTCTTTTGATGAGCCTAACAAAACTGTCCAGGCTTGCAGGCTGACCACATTCATGAGAGCAAAAGGAGAAATATGTGAGAAAGACAGAGATACAGGAAAAAAAAAAAAAATTAGAAATAGTGAGACAAAAAGTATGGAAGCTGGTGGGTGTTGCTGGTAACATTTTACCCCCTGATTCCTGCCAGGATCAGTATGAAAGAGCTGGGGGGCGGGGGGGGGTAGGAGTTGTTGGCTTCGGAGCAGAACAAGACAGGTTGTAGGTTTACCATGAAAACTGTACCATGTACTGCTTCTTTAAATGTGCACTCACACACACACATATATAACAACGACACACTTAGATGAAGAAGAGAGGCATTATGTGAATGTGCGAGGTGGGGCGTCATCGAGCGGCTCTCCGCTTTAAAATATGAATGAAATGAAGTGAGCATGGTTAATGCTTAGGAACAGAGAACTGTATAATAGGTGAAGGGCCACAACAATGTTTTAAATGTTAAATCAAATGCTTTGTTAAGGATTTAATTAAATGCAAACCTTTAGAATTAAATTAAATTTAATATTTGTAATCAGTGTGCCATATTTATCTAACAACAACTACAATATACAGTAAAGGCTAATGACACCAACTGAAAAACAGTCACCTTATTTTTCTTAATCTGTCCAAAACCTTTATGAGCTCATGATTTCACTGCAAAGTAAATAAATAGACAATAAATAAACGGGGGAACAATGAAATAATAATGAATTATTAAAAGAAAGAGGCCGAATTTAAATCAAGTTGAACTGATCAATGTCAGATTTGCATATTTTCCTTTTAGGAAAGAGAATGTCCTTGTACACATACTGTTGTGTATAAAAGTTTATTTTTACAGCTTTTTCTTCTGTCTCTTGACTATGATGCTGCTGAGACATAATGCATTAGTCTTACAATGTACTTTATATTCAGGCTTCCTATACATTCTTGTTAACCAAGCCACCGAGACTAATGCATCCTTCTTGGTAGACATGTAAACATGTTGTTGAGGATGGAAGATATTTATTATCCTCCATCTGTACGTTCTTTGAGTTTTTCACAATCACATATGTCTCGTATACATATCAGAGAAAATATGTTATTGAGGCCTCAGGAGCACATAGGTCAGTGTACACTGAGGAAACACTGATGTGTCTGCAGCAAGAGCTCATCAATCCAAGGTCATCAGCAACCACAACACAGACAAGTCAGTGTCGCTTCAGCTTCTCTCACCACCTGATGCTATTTGATCTCTATCTGTGGATGTGCTAACCATGTGCCACTTTCAGTTCTCACACTACACCATTGTGCAGGTATACAGTATGACGGTGTGATAAGGGTCTCAGATTTACCACCAATCAAAATTAGGCATCCCACATATCTAGCAGGAGACTGACAATTTTTTTTTTTGACTGAAACGTCAACTGTCGCCAGCAGGTTTAATCAGCTGTAGATTTTATCAAGCTAATTGAGCTAATGCTAGCTTGATGAGGTGCTGTCTCATGCTAAGTTTTAAATGTTTCCACCTGATTTGTTTGAAAACAAGATCCCCATGATGGTATCTTAAAGGTCCCATATTGTATAAAGTGAGATTTCTTGTCTTTTTTTGATTATAAAGCGGTCTAGGTTCGATATTAATGAAAGTATAGATGAGTGAAAGTATAGTAGTGCTCAGTCCACAGAGAAATGCACATAGCCACATAGCCAAGCCTCGCCCACCTCGCAGCATTTGGTTTCACTCAGTTTTTACCTGAAGTCTACTATATTTTTATTAGATCACTCAGGAAACACCCAATCAGAAGAGAGGCTCTGAGCCTCCTCACTTCTGATTGGCTCACCGACCAATTATGTTACTAGAGCTCCAGAAAGAAGCCTGAGAGAGGAGATGTAAAACTACATTGTTTATACATGTCTTTTGGTTCTTCAAACCACAAATATATCTTCTTAAGGATCACCACTTCAAATAAAAGACAGGAAAAGTGTAAAATACCTCAGCATCCTCACCAGTAACTGAACAACGTGAAAGACATTCTTCTATGGCAGTGAAGAGCGTAAGAGAGTTAGTATTATGACAGGGAAAAATGTGAAATCAGATTCATTTCATTTCATTCTAACTTAACAGTAATTGGCTGCTCAGCTTAAACACTTGGACAACCAAGACTGAAGTTAGAATAATGCTTTATTGTTATTGTTCATATTTTCAAGTTGTATGTTTCACTTAACATTGCAAAAGAAAGGACTCTAACCCTTGCTACCTGTTTTTCTGTTACGCAGCTTGTGTATGATCTGCTACTCCTCAGTGTTTTTTGTGGCTTTACCTAAAAGGAGTTCACCAAATAGTTCAATCTCTGAAATGTTCCATGAGTCATAGTCACAGATTACTGGTTCAGTCTGACTATTCATCTTGAGTTTTGTCATTTCTCCAGAATCACCAGACCACCAGTGTCACCTGCTCCTCTGGTGTTTCCGCCAGACGGTATCTTAACCAACATTTCTGAAATCAGTGTTGAATATGAAGAAATGTCCCAGTTTTAAAGTAGATCAGAACAGAGGTGTCTGCAGAAACTGGCAGTCAGTTTGCAGGGTGAGAGCCCCACCAGGGACACTAACACATCACTGCTGTCAAATCTTCATCCTCCAAAAATCTGCTTTCCAAGACTTGAGAAAAACATCCATAAGTCGATACGCATACATTTTAATTCAAAATGTATTATGACTGGCTTTTGTAGGCCAAATGTCTCTGAGACTTTCTAAGGTGACAAAGAAGCAGCGAGTCTGAAGAGTTTCCAGACTTACCGAACATCTTTCCCCTGCTGAATTCTTCTCTACTACTGTACTGTCTTTAAGAAATATGAATAATATTTATCTTTATCCCTCACTTTAATTCTTTTGCCTGCACTCCCCCATCATTCATGATCATTGCAGGATCACTGTTGGCCTTACTAGCGGTTGCCTGTCACGCTGATGATCCATCCACTGACGCTTATTCAGTGGCTGCACCCGTCATTAAGCTTCTATGGGTGAGATAGTTGGTGAATTGCCAAAAATATAAAAGAATGTGAAGGTTGTCATCCATCAGCAGGTGGAGGCCTAGAAAAAAAAGTTTTAACCGCCTAAAGCTGGAGCACAACAGATTTATTTCTCTAACTTTTCCTCAGAAGTTGGTGTTTGATTGTTATCTTGACTTTTACTTTATTTATTTTCTCCTTTACAGTGATGTGAGGTGAGGTCTTATAGGATATGGATTTCTTATCTCACATGTGCAAATTGGAAATTAGCATCTGTTTTAATCATATTTAATCACTTTTATCAGAATATCTTCACTTTTATCTTTGTCATTATGTAAATTAACTAAACTGAAGCACACTAATTGTGAAATTAACTCCACCATTTTAACAATTCACCTCTCTGTCTGTCATTTTGCCTGCTACTTCTCACATAGTCTGCCTTCACTACATGAACTCTTCCTGCACTTTCACTCTTGGAAATGTTTTGTAAAAATTCCTTTTAGCCCTCTTTAAGGCATCAAAAGTAACAAGCCGCTGTATATTATAGGTTACATTTCAGTCAGGAAGGATTCAAAACCTGCCTTTAGCTGTCAAAATGTGTCAAGAGAAAGAATAATTAAATGTCACTGAGTAGAATAACTGATGAGCCGGTCTGAACTCCCTCATGCTCAACAAGCTACGTAGACTCTACATCAGGCAGCAGAACAGCGGTGACACTGTTCCTCCCGTAAGACGAACATCGCTGTCAACTTCACAGCTTTGTCAACAGGTTTTGGCAAATTTTCAAACCCATTTAGAGACTTTGTTTCCAAAAAGAGACTCGAGCATAAACAGACTGATACACAGAACCACACTGACATGCACTATATTACCTACAACAGGGATGTATTGTTGTATTGTAAGAGTAAGAAGGGTGTTGTGATATAAAAGTGACCACATCCATCATCACATCGTGACTGTGCCTACAGTCACCTCCAAAGTAACAAGTGTTATTTCATTTTTACACCTGCACCGCTATTACTTATGGGAGAATCCAAGAAATAGTTCCTGTAGAACACATGATGAAAACATAGTCACTGAAATGCTCTTCAAAAAAAGTTACGTTATGAGGA